GTTGTGGGTGATAATAAAAGGTGATGGCTGTACATAACCTCCCTCAGTGGCACAACGGTATGTCTGCGGACTTACAACGCTAGAAACCTGGTTTCGACACCCGTGGTAGGTAGAGCACATATATCCCATTGTGTAGTTTTGTGCTTAACTACAAACAAACACAAATAACGTGGTGTTGGTAACTCAGACAATGTCAAAGAGTTTTCAGCTTGTCGATCCATAACATCCTGGTCCTTCAACAGAACAGCTGGTGAAAACTGACTGCACCAAGTGCGTTCTTTAATTAGTCACACGCGAAGCTTCCCATTGTCCAGATGACTCGAATCACCATGATGTTGGTGCTTGTCAGGGTTATTGTACCCTTTCATCAAGTCTAGTCCATGATGCTTGTGCTGGTCAGGGTTATTCTACCCTTTCATCAAGTCTAGTCTGTCATGTTGGTGCTAGTCAGGGTTATTCTACCCTTTCATCAAGTCTAGTCCATGATGTTGGTGCTGGTTAGGGTTATTCTAATTTCATGAACTGTAGTCCATGATGTTGGTGCTGGTTAGGGTTATTCTGCCCTTCCATCAAGTCTAGCCCATGTTGGTGGTGGTTAGGGTTATTCTACCCTTTCATCAACTCTAGTCCGTCATGTTGGTGGTGATTAGGATTATTCTACTCTTTCATCTACTCTAGTCCGTGATGTTGGTGCTGGTCAGAGTTATTCGACCCTTTCATCAACTCTATTCCGTAATGTTGGTTCTGGTCAGGGTTATTCTACCCTTCCATCAACTCTAGTCATTGATGTTGGTGCTGGTTAGGGTTATTCTACCATTTCATCAACTCTAGTCCATGATGTTGGTGCTGGTTAGGGTTATTCTACCCTTCCATCAAGTCTAGTCATTGATGTTGGTGCTGGTTATTCTACCCTTTCATCAACTCTAGTCCTTCATGTTGGTGGTGGTTAGGCTTATTCTACCCTTTCATCAACTCTAGTCCGTCATGTTGGTGGTGGTTATGGTTATTCTACCCTTCCATCAACTCTAGTCAATGATGTTGGTGCTGGTTAGGGTTATTCTATCCTTTCTTCAATTCTGGCCCATGACGTTGGTGCTGGTTAGGGTTATTCTATCCTTTCTTCAACTCTGGCGCATGATGTTGGTGTTTGACAGGGTTATTCTACCATTTCATCAAGTCTAGTGTGATTCCATGAGTTAGATGAGCTGCCTTTTCCAATAGACATTCAACGTCTAGATGAAAGAAATGGTGTAAAAGCCACTCTTATGGAAAACAAGCCACAAATCCTGCCATAGAAAGTTCAACATCATAAAATTTCAATGACCAGCAAAAAGGAAATCGACCGAAATAGATTGTGGTCCTTGTTGAGCCACATTCAAGAAGTACACTCGTCAAACCGAACACCATGAAAAAAGCAAACAAAGACATACACTTCCCGTGCCATAATGTGTGGACAACTGAACCTCTTCGTGAACATTCCGCAAGGACTCTCGTGTTAGAAAATGTGCATTGGAATTACAGGATGAGCGTCTACCTGGGAAACTAAGTGCAGGAGACATGTTGGCACAAGATGTAAAATATCACCCGATGGGGATGTGACTGTACTCGAACGACTCACCATCCTGCTGTACGACAGAACGAGCAATAAAGTGAACACAGACGAAGCTCAACAAGAATTGTTCACAAGGAAAAGATGCACTCCAACTGACCAGAGCGGCACTACTGCAACATATCAAGAGGACTGTGTACCAAGGTGGTCACTTCTTGGGTAAAGCGATCGAAGTTGACCTTGCCATGCCTCCCCCCGACATCTAGGGATGGACTGATTCTCAAGTAGACCACTTTGCCTGAACCAGCCTTCCATCAAGAGGACTCATTCGCTGCAGTTGCTAGAAAGCAGAAGCAAACTGTACTGCATTGTATCCACCTAATGACGGGCAAGTTTGTAACTTATAAATTGCGTGACATCATAGCCAATGACTTAAGGTTTATGTTAACTTACAATTTCATATTATGTTGACTTTACCAAAGTTTTGGATATGTATTTTTGTTGTTTTTTATCTTAACTAAAAGAAAATCATATTTTAGAATGATATATTTGTGTAAGGCAACATTTAAGTGCATTTAGCTCTAATATAATGCTGATTTTTCAACGTCATCAAAATTTTTGGCAGCCATATTTTAAAATGACCCCAAAAAGTAACATAGGCCTTTTTGACGATGGCTCCATCTCTGAAAATATTCTCTGGGCTATGATCTACAAAGATGCCAGATTTCATGCTTGTATATATAAAACCACAATTATTTGACTATGTTTCACATATCTGCCGAACTAATACTAACAAATAAATACAAAACACCATTCAATATAGTTTAATTCCGTTACTACAGAACAACACCAAATTTCAGTCCGTCTTAAAGTTTCCATACAGATTTGTTGAGTGGATTGAAACTTTATTTAATGTTTTCATGCCCTTGATAACAGCAGTGCCATTTCAATGGGGAGGACTTTATTAATGGTACAAGGGCTAGTTGGGCGCTGTTGTTGTTGTTGTTTTAAGGTTAAAATGGAATCATTTCATCTGATTGTTTTCTATCTTGTTTGTTTGGTTGGCCGTTTTTAGAGCAAAGCCACATTGGGCTATCTGCTGTGTCCATTGAGTGGAATCGAACCCCAAACCTTAGCGTTGTAAGTCCGTAGGAGGACTTCCTATATTGTGTAATAGCCATTCAAAGGATTTGATATACACGTAAGGTATAACCACGATATTATTAAATCTCTCCCATCTTTGATGTAAACAAAGTTTGATAATTATATTCTTATAAATATCTAGGGAACAAACAATACGTGTAAACAGGTAATGGAGAAATTTCCACTTTTCTTAACGTGTGTATTTGAAGAAAGAAGAGCAAACATTCTGTTAGTCTAGCGATAAGAAAGAAAGAGGAAAATGAAGAAGCTATCTTCTGTTTGTAGACATATGGACCCAATCAGCGGATGTATTAATCTTAATATCTACATTCAGATGATGAATAAGTTACAACATTAACATACATGTGATTTTTGTACTTGCGTTGACGCACCCATCGGTCAGACAAGTTGTTTCTAAAAACAGATAATTCGTCTCTAATGGCAAATGTACTTATTTTTATACGGTTTAGCTGTTTGTTCTAGAGCAAAACCACAGTGGGCTATCTGTTGTGTACCCCGTGGGAAATCGAACCCCGTATGTTAGCATTGTAAATTCGAAGATTGACCATTGTCCCACCGTGGGGACGTTTTTACACAGATCCCATGTTTTTGTTCTTTCAATATGTATCCATATCTTTCTACATGTTTAGAACCACATTAAAATACCATGAGAGTTGAACCAGGACATAAAGGACACTAAAAATATTTGTTTTATGATTGGTCATTCCTGAAAACACGGAAATGTTTGCACAAATTAGTTGTGCAGGGGGAGGGGGTGAATACAGGACGTACGAAGAAACGTGGGGAAAACACATACAATCCTTAAGTTACTGATTTAATTGTGGAAAAGTAAGCATAAACTAAGCAACTCAATAAATGTGAATGAAAGTCGAAAATAAATATTGAATTAAAAGGTAAAAATTAAAAACGCAAAACCGACATTATCATTCATGTATTTGATAGGAATGACTAAAACATTTATTAGTAAAAAAGTGACAAGGTTTTATTGACAGAATAATCAAGGTATAACGTTCTTAGAGTTCAAATTCGATGACGAGGAACCCACTTTGAGACTAATAATGGCTGGAGCCGGCTTGAATGAGTAATGAATAAAAACTTTAATATAAGTTTAACATAACAGCAAATGTACAACGTTTCAACAAGGTTTTGGCACCTGATGATGATGACAAAACCTTGTCGAAACGTTGTACATTCATTACCCATTCAAGCTGTCTCCAGCCATTATTGTTCTTAGAGTTACATATTTTCTGGTACCCTGTCAACCAGTTTTTGATAATTCGTTCATGTATTGAGGCAAGTACGTGTAAGGATTGTGGGTTTATATGTACAAGCAATGAATTTAGCATAGTTTGGCCCAGATAATATTTTTAGAAAAGGAGCCATCGCGAAAAAGGCCTAAAACATGATTTTCTTTTATATACGATAAAACAACAAAAACACATATCCAAAACATATCCATAAAAAAGAGCTGAGTCAGCATAATATGAAATTGTACTATATAATTAATTTTAAGTTCCATTGATTTATTAGTGATTATCAAATGATGAATTGAATTTGATATGTATCAAATGTAATATATCGACGAGAATTTGGTGGATAGTTGCAATTATTACTGTTAAAAATGTTTGTGAAACACCAATATGTTGTGTGAGATATGTCATGATTGAACGTTAAGATAACAGACCTTCATATGCCAATATGTTGTGTGAGATATGTCATGATTGAATGTTAAGATAAATCGACCTTCATATACCAATATGTTGTGTGAGATATGTCATAATTGAACGTTAAGATAAATCGTATAAACAGCTGTTTTACTTTAATGTTGTAGTTAAGGGTAGATAGTGAGTATAATGTATTAATATCTTCCGGTCTAGTTATTGAGTATTTAGGTGTTTTAGTTAAGGGTAAATAGTGAGTATAATGTATTAATATTTTCTGATGTTGTCAACGAGGGTGTTTTAGTTAAAGGTAAACAATTATTTCTGCTGTTTAGTATTCACTGTATTACTGAGTGCTATACGATGCTGTGTATTTTGTTTGTTAAGTAATTTTTGTCATGGACTATATTCTAAGAGTATGGATATGATAGCATGGAAAACTGCTAGTGTTTTCTAGTTTAATACCTAAGTTGTTTATTTAAATTGTAGCTATGTTTTTTGTGTAACAGTAAAGCATTGTGCTGGTACTTCCATATAACCACAGGCGGTCACGTGATCGGCAGCTGTTGGCGGGAACGTAGTGTACAGGTTTTTCTGACGTTGCGTAGCTCTCAGATCACTGTTGGAATAGATCAGTTCTACGAACAGCGAGTTAGTCTTTTCACGAAGTTTAGACTATCAATATATTTGTGTCAAGTTTCCTCCTACAATAGTTTCGTTTTAACAAGCGAATGTCAATTAATGTATCAAAAACATTCACTTATTCTATTTTTATGTTTTCCTCGTTAAATTAATGTGCATTCTAACTGGTGGTGTATTAAAGTTAAAGCACTTGAAAATGCAGCGACATTCCAGCGGCTCTAAGTGGTCTGTACTTCTGGACAAAACTTTCGCTTCTCGTCGGACTTCTGCGACTGAAGAAGACAACTTACACATGAAAGAGGTTGTTTCGGACAATGTTCGTGCCTCTGGTACCCTAACGGATGACACTACAGGATCGCTAAAAGATGCAAGAAATCCAGATCTTCAAGAGGATTTGACTGATAAGAACAACGATCCAGTTTTAAGAACAGATCATAGACAATCTTCTCACCAGGAATACGATGACAAGGCAATAAAGACCTTATTCAAGAGATCTAGTACATTGTTGGATGATATCGGGCAAGGGAAATATGACAATTGGGATCCCGAAACATGTGTCCGGCTACTGCGTATGCCCAGTGTACAAAACTATGCTGGTATGAAGAAGCTGTTGAGTAGATGTGACCGTCACTGGATGTTGGAATTTCTGGAACTAGATGGACTCGATGTTCTCTTCGAAAGTCTAGAACGATTAAGTGAGAGATGTGGTAACGGGGCTCGTTTCGAGGATGCATTATTACAACTCGAGTGTGTGGGGTGTGTTAGGACCGTGATGAACTCTCGACCTGGACTGGACTACATTGTGGAACACTCGGAGCATACTCGGAAGCTAGCCAGAGGTGAAAATCATCTGTCTGTATACAAATTGTTAAAGTAAAACAGCTGTTTATATAACTTTTAACGTAAAACAGTTGTTTATATAACATTGTAAAAGTAAAACAACTGTTTGTATAACATTGTTAAAGTAAAACAGCTAGCTGTTTATATAACTGTTAAAGTAAACCAATTTTATATAACATTTAGTAAAGTAAAACAGATGTTTATATAACATTTACCTAAATACTCAATAACTAGACCGGAAGATATTAATACATTATACTCACTATCTACCCTTAACTACAACACCTAAATACTCAATAACTAGACCGGAAGATGCTAGAGCATTCGCCAAGGTACAGGATAGTTCTAGAAACGTGGCGTGACACTAGTCATGTGACTTCGCTGACGCAAAAATATTAATACATTATACTCACTATTTACCCTTAACTAAAACACCTAAATACTCAATAACTAGACCGGAAGATATTAATACATTATACTCACTATTTACCCTTAACTAAAACACCTAAATACTCAATAACTATACCGGAAGATATTAATACATTATACTCACTATTTACCCTTAACTAAAACACCTAAATACTCAATAACTATACCGGAAGATATTAATACATTATACTCACTATTTA